TTTAGGGTTTAGGGTTTGCCTCGGCGATGGCGTCGGCCCGCTGCTCCGAGTCCAGCCCGTGCAGCTGCGCAAGTGCTGCTGCCATTCCCTTTTTTATTAAACCCGCCCTTTCCAGCAAACTCCATTCTGGCTGCCGCTCCATCACGGCTTCTTGCTTCACCTGCGCAAACCCTAAACCCTAAACCCTAAACCCTAAACCCTAAACCCTAGGCCCTGCGGGCTGCGCCCTCGAGCGAGGCGCAGGCCCTGGCCTGTGGGTTGTCCCGCCTCCACGCAGCAGCGCCGCTGCCTCAGCATGCACTAGCAGCAACAGCAGCAGCAGCAGCAGCTTCTGCTGCTGCTGCTGCTGCTGCAGCAGTGACAGCACCCACAGAGGCACCAGCAGCAGCAGCAGCAGCAGCAGTGGCAGCAACCCCACACTGCCTCCGCACCCGGCACGGCCGCACTGACGGTGAACCGGAACAGCAGCAACAGCAGCGCCAGTATCACCGGCAGCAGCAGCAGCAGCAACAGCAGCAGCAGCAGCAGCAGCTGACCTGCGAGTTGTTTGCATCTGCCCGCACGAGGTGCCCCAGCAGCCGGACCTGCTCCGACTGCTCTTGAGACAAAGTTGTCTTGTGGGGCGCAGGAGAAGCAGCAGCATCTGGGACTGTCATTGCTGCTGCTGCTGCTGCTGCTGCTGCTGCTGAGGGTTACGGCGTCGCTGACGCTCCTGCTGCTGCTGCTGCTGCTGGTGGTGCTGCAGACTCGTGCGGCGAAGCTGGCGCTGACGCTGATGCTGCTGCTGCTGCTGGTTGTTATGGCGCCGCTGACGCTGCTGCTGCTGCTGCTGCTGCTGCTGGTTGTTATGGCGTTGCTGACGCTGCTGCTGCTGCTGGTTCGGACGGCTGCGCTGCTGCTGCTGCTGGCGAGGCGATTGGTGTGTTGCTGCTGCTGCTACTGCTACCGATGGTCATGCTGCTGCTAGGCCTGCAGTAGCAGCAGCAGCTGCTGCTGCTGTAAAGTTTCAGCAGCTAGAGTTGCTGCTGCTGCTGCTGCTGCTCCGCCAGGCGCTAGCAGTCACGTGGCTTCGCCGCAGGCAGCAGCCGAGCCACACAGTAGCCTTAAACCCTAAGCCCTAAACCCTAAACCCTAAACCCTAACACCCAGAATCTGCACATGCGTGCATGGATGTAAGGATCACGGCAGGCAGGCGAGGCAGCCGTGCTGCTGCTGCTGCTGCTGCTGCTGTTGTCGTCGCCGCTCCGGGGTTCCTGCTGCACCAGCTGCTGCTGCTGCTGCTGCTGCCGTGTGCAAATCGCCGCAGTCCTCCGCAGCAGCAGCTAGCGTGGCGGGTCGAGGCGGGCCGTAAACCCTGATCCCTAATCTCTAAACCCTAAACCCTAAACCCTAAACCCCAAAGCCTGAGTTCTTCACTGCGTAACGCATCGAATACACCAATTGAAGGCAGCGCAGCAGCAACAGCAGCTGCTGCAGCTGCAGCAGCAGCAGCTGCTGCTGCTCCAACTTGGTCGGGGCTGGCTGTCTGCATGCTGCTGGCAGAGGAAAGCTAAACTCTAGAAGCAAAACCCTAAACCCTAAACCCTAAACTGTAAATAAAGTGGCAATTTTGTGTTGTTTGCTTGTCCGAAAGATCTATTTAGCCACAGCAGCTGCTGCTGCTGCTGCTACTACCGGTGCTGCTGCTGCTGCTGCTTCCTAAACCCTCCGCAAACCCTAAACCCTAACTTCCAAACCCTCGTTTCACTCGAGAGCTTTCCTTCCAGCCTCTAGCGCGCTTCTGGGCGCCGGCGGCGGCGCCGCGGGCCGAGGGTTTAGGGTTTAGGGTTTAGGGTTTAGGCTTTGGAAAATGGGCAGCGAGGCCGGGGAATCGCGGCTCAAACGAACTCTCTATATTGGAGGTTTAGCGGAAGAAGTTGATGAACAAATTTTAAGAGCTGCTTTTTTGCCCTTCGGAGATATCCGCGAAGCCACCATTCCCAAAGACAGGACCACTGGTCTGCTGCTGCTGCTGCTGCTGCTGCTGCGGTTGCTGCAGGGGGTGCGGGGGAGCGGGGGTGCTGGGGCTGCTTGGGGGGAGGGAGCTGCTGCTGTTGCTGCTGCTGCTGCTGCTCTGGGGGTGGTGGGGGCGCTGTTGCTGCTGGTGCTCTGGGGGTGGTGGGGGCGCTGTTGCTGCTGCTGCTGCTGGGAAAGGGGGGGCGCCGCTGCTGCTGCTTTTGGGGATGGGGAAGCGTTGCTGCTGCTGCTGGTAGTGCTGCTGCTGCTGCCGAAGCTGCTGCTGGGGGGGCTGGGAGTGGTGCTGCCACTCGTGCTGCTGCTTCTGCTGCTGCGTTTGAATGGGGCTTTGCTGCCGCTGCTGCTGCTGCAGTTGAGTAGGGGGATGGCAGTGCTGGCGCGGCTGCTGCTGCTGCTGCTGCTGCTGCTACTGCTGATCATCGTGCTGCTGCTGCCAGGGCTGCCATTCGTGTGCTTCTGCTGCTACTGCGCTTCCTAGCCAAGTCCTAAACCTAAACCCTAAACCCTAAACCCTAGTTTGTGCCTTCAGGCGGCCACCGTGGCTTTGGGTTCGTCGAATTCGAGGAAGAAGAAGATGCAAATCAGGCGGTAAACCCTAAACCCTAAACCCCAAACCCTAAACCCTAAACCCTAAGCGCTTATTTTGGATGGTTCGAGGTTTGGAGTCTGAAGTTAGGGTTTACGGCTTTGGGAACTCCCTGCCTTTGGGGGGTCCGCGCGCAGTGAGGGTTTAGGGTGTAGAGTTTAGGGTTTAGGGTCTGCAGCGAGGGTTTAAGGTTTAGGGTTTAGGGTTTAGGGTTTGCAGATATTGAATATGCACAACTCGGAGCTCTACGGCCGCACGCTGCGGGTAAACACTTCGAGGCATGGCCCCCAAGGGGTTCCAAAGAACAGAGCAGGTGTGCTGCTGCTGCTGCTGCTGCTGCTGAAGTTGCTGCTGCTGCTGCAGTTGCTGCTGCCGGGCGTTTCGGTGCTGGGGCTGCTGCCGCTGTTGTTGTTCTGGTGCTGCTGCAGTAGTTGCTGCTGCTGCTGCTGCAGCGTAGAGAGAGCAGAGATCACACAAGCAGCTGCTGCAGCAGCTGCAGCAGCACTAGCAGCTGCAGCTCCTCCTGCTGCATTCCCGCAGTTGCTTCTATCTTTTTGCTGCTGCTGCTGCTGCTGCTGCAGTTTGGCAGGACGACTTTTTCTTTCGCGAGGAAATGAGCAAACGAGGGATGGCTGTGGACGCAGACCTGGTGAGTCTTGCTGCTGCTGCTGCTGCTGCTGCAGCCGTTGCTGTTGCTGCTGCTGCAGTTGGTGCTGCTGCAGTCGCTGCTGCAGTTGCTGCTGCAGCTGCCATGTGGCTTTTCTGCAGCTTTGCTGCTGCGCGTTGCAGGACGAGCCGGACCCCCCAGCTGCAGCAGCAGAGAGCAGCGGCAAGTAAGCCGCAGCAGCAGCAGCAGCAGCGTCAGCAGCTGCTGCAGCAAATGCAGCAATTTAGACGCATATACCAGCTTTCACAGTTGCTGCTCTTCAGCTGCTGCGCTGCTGCTCCTGCCACGGCAGCTGCACGTATCTGCAGCAGCAGCAGCAGCAACAGTTGCTGCTGCTGCTGGTGGTGTTGCTGCTATAGGCGTATTCTAAGTGGACCACCGTGTGTTCCGCTTGCAAACCCTAACTCTCAGCTCAAACCCTAAACCCTAAACCCTAAACCCTAGTTCTCGGGGCTCCCTAGAAGGCCCGAATCGCTAAACCCTTGGCCAAAATGCCGCTGCAGAAGAGCCGCTGGGGTTTAGGGTTTAGGGTTTGGCGACTAAAGGGTTTTGGAAGACCTACGAGGGTTTAGGGTTTGCACCAGGGACCTTCGTGCGGGTTTTAGTGTGCTTGAGATGCTCCTACAGCAGCAGCAGCAGCCGCTGCTGCTGCTACAGCAGCAGCAGCTGCTGCTGCTGCAGCTGCTGCAGCAGCAGCAGCAGCTGCTGCTGCCCTTTTGGTGGCACTGCCACTCAAATCAAATTCATTGTTAAATATCTCTTGTCCGAGGGTTTGTAGCCTGAGTCTAGGGTTTGCAGTTGACGGTTTAGGGTTTTAGGTTTCTAGCTAGGGTTTAGGGTTTAGGGTTTGCAGCTAGGGTTTAGCGTCTGCAGCGCCTTCAGGCCTCGGGGGCAGCCAGCCGCTTCCATCGCTGCGGCCACACGCAAGACAGAACCGCAAGGGTTTAGGGTTTAGGGTTTGGGGTTTAGGGTTTTAGGGTTTAGGGTTTTAGGGTTTAGGGTTCCGGGTCTATGTTTGGAGCCGCGGGAACTTGCATGTGCGGCTGTGCCAGAGAGCCCTAGGATTTAGGGTCTAGAGCGCATTAGGGTTTAGGGTTTAGGGTTTAGGGTTTACCTCGGGGGTTTCGTACTTCTTGATGCAACTCCGCGCAGCCTTTGCCAAGCCCTTACACCTCAAAAATGTAATTGTCCGCGAAGTCATGCACTCCACGTAGTCGTCCAAACTATCCCTTCTCGCAAACCCTAAACCCTAAACCCTAAACCCTAAACCCTAGGCGTTCCACGTAGTCGTTTAAACTCTCCCTTCTCGCAAACCCTAAACCCTAAACCCCAAACCCTAGACCCTGTGCACTCCCCGCAACCATCCACACTGTCCTGCGCCCCGAACAAAACCCTAAGCCCCAAACCCTAAACCCTAAACCCTAAACCCTCGTCTTGCCTGCACTTGTCCCGGATTTCTTTTCCAATTTGCTCTTTTATTATTTTGGATTCTTTTTTCTGCAATTCTGAAATTTCTTTTATTTCAAAAAATGGAACTCGAGAAGAAGTCCGTCGAGAGACCACTGCGGGGTCCAGCGGGTCGTCCAGGAACAGCTTCTGCTGCTGCTGCTGCTGCTGCTGCTGCTGCTGCGGTTGCTGCTGCTGCTGCTGCGGCTGCTGCTGCTCGGCGGAGGCCGGGTAGGCCTTCTCTTCAGGGCTGCGAAGGCTCTCGGGCCGGCGAATCGCCGGCGACAGCCAACTCAGCATCTTGCTGCTGCTGCTGCTGCTGCTGCTGCTGTTGCTCCCCCGGCTGCTGCCACCATCGCTCGCGTACCTGAGGCTGCAATTGCTGCAGCAGTAAAGGGGTTGATGCTGCTGGTGTTGCTGCTGCTGCTTCTGCTGCTCAACGCGCAGATCCCACGAGTCAACGGCAGCACCGGCAGCAGCTGCAGCAGCAGCTGCTGCTGCTGCTGCTGCTACTACAGATGTCAGTGAGGCTCCCTGGGGAGCTCTTGCTGCAGCACAGCTCAAGAAACATAAGAAGAAATAGATCAGAAGTCTTAAAGCTTGCTGCTGCTGCTGCTGCTGCTGCATGCAGCCACAAAGGTCACTATCGTAGCCGCTGCCGCCGCAGCAAGAGTAGCAGCAGCAGCAGCAGCTGCTGCTGCTGCTGCTGAGGAAGTCAGCATGTATTTGAAATATGATCTTCTGCTTTTGTTTTTTAATTTTTGGACCTTTTGAAACTGTCAAGACACTCCATTTAGCTTCCTGTAAGCCTGCAGCGGACATCTGCTTCTGCTGCTGCTGCTGCTCTAGACTTTGCTGCTGCCGCTCGCGCTGCTGCCGCAGCTCGTGCTGCTGCTGCTGCAGCAATGGCTTCTAAAACGTTCAGCCTCGCGCTGCAGGGAGGCGCAGCCTCCGTGGCTAGAAGCAGCGTCTGCAGGTTTGCTGCTGCTCGAGCAGCAACAGCAGCGGCAGCAGCAGCAGCAACAACGCACACAGCAGCGCGACAGCCACCCCTAGACAGAATGTGCGCAGCAGCAACGAGACCCGCTGCAACAGCAAATCTAGGGGTAGCAGCAACAGCAGCAATAACAAGAAAAGCAGCAGCAGCAGCTGCTGCTGCTCTCCTTCGCAGTTTTCATTCCGCGTCGGCGTCGAATGGGCAGCAGCAGCAGCAGGACAAGCAGCAGCAGGAGCAGCAACAGCAGCTGCAGCAGCAGCAGCAGCAGCAAGAAGAGCGAGGCACCCAGCAGAATTGTGAGCGCAGAACAGATAAACTCAGCTGCTACTTTTTCTGCTGCTGCAGCAGTCAGTGCTGCTGCTGCTGCTGCTGCTGTTGCTGCTGTTGCTGCCGCACGGTCTGCATCCCCCCAGTCGCCCTAACAACTGCTGCTGCTGCTTCTGCTGCTGCTGCTGCTGCTGCTGCTGTCGTTCTCTGGTGCTTCAGCTTTCGCTGATGTTCTGCTGCTCTGCAGTACTTGCCGCTGCTGCTGCTGCTGCTGCAGTTGCTGTTGCTGCGTTTGGTGTGGTCTTTGCAGCCAAGACATCAGCTTCTCCCATGAGCGATGAAGTAAACTCTAAACCCTAAACCCTAAACCCTAGACTCTGCCTCGCGTCTAGATAGCTACGTAGCAACCAACTACCTAGCTAGCTAGCTGCTAGCTAGCTAGCTAGCTAGCTAGCTAGCTAGCTAGCTGGCCAGATAGCTAGCTAGTTGGCTAGCCAGTATTCAATCAGCTTTCCGCCGCCCGTTTCTCCATCCACGTCTTGGCTCGTCTGTTCATGAGCTAGCTAGCTAGCTAGCTAGCTAGCTAGCTAGCTAGCTAGCTAGCTAGCTAGCTATGAGGCTAGCTGGCAAGCTAGCTAGCTAGCTAGCTAGCTGGCTAGCTAGCCGTAAGGCTAGCTGGCTAGCTAGCTAGCTGCCAGCTAGCTAGCTAGCTAGTTCATGAACGGACACGCGAAGACACCAGCTAGCTAGCCAGCCAGCCTGCCAGCTAGCTAATGAGAGTACCTTCTTTCGAGTTAGCAAGCTATCCAGCTAGCTGGCTAGCTAGCTGGCTAGCTAGCTGGCTAGCTACGTAGCTAGCTAGCTAGCTAGCTAGCTGTTTAGCTAGCTAGCTAGCTGTTTAGCTAGCTAGCTAGCTAGCTCATTTCTCTCCTAGATGACGCTGACGAGGGCAGCTAGCTGGCCAGCTGCTGGCCGCCCTCAGGCGCCCCACCCGCCGCCGCCGCTGCTGCTGCTGCTGCTGCTGCTGCTGCTGCTGCAGGAGCTGGAGGCGAAGCTGCTGCAGCTGGTGGAGAAGACCCCCGTGGTGCTGTTTATGAAGGGAAGGCCCGAAGCTCCTCTTTGCGGCTTCTCGGCGAGGGCTTTGCTGCTGCTGGAAGCAGCAGGAGTTAGGGAGTACACCTTCGTCGACTGCAGCATTCCGCAGCACCTGCCGCAGCAGCAGCAGCAGCAGCAGCAGCAGCAGCGGCAGGGGCAGCAGCGGCAGGGGCAGGAGCGAAAGAAGCAGCAGGGGGGAGAGGGGGAGGACTCTGAGCAGCAGCAGCAGCAGCAGCAGCGGCAGCAGCAGCAGCAGCAGCAGCAGCAGCTGCAGCAGCTGCAGCAGCGGCAGCAGCAGCAGCAGCAGCAGCAGCTGCAGCAGCTGCAGCAGCGGCAGCAGCAGCAGCAGCAGCAGCAGCAGCTGCAGCAGCTGCAGCAGCGGCGGCAGCAGCTGGGGAGGTGCGTGAAGCGGGTCTTCGACTGGCCCACTTTCCCGCTGCTGGTGGTTAAGGGGAAAGTTGTGGGAGGAGCTGATGTGCTGCAGGCGCTGCAGCAGCAGGGGCAGCTAGCTGCGCTTTTCAAAGGCCTTTCGGACAGCAGCAGCAGCAGCAGCAGCAGCGGCAGCGGCAGCGGCGACGGCGGCAGCAGCAGCTAGCTGCGGTCTTTCCCGGCAGTTCAGAGCCCAGCAGCAGCAGCGGCAGCAGCTACTGCTGCTGCTGCGGTAGCAGCAGCAGCAGCAGCGGCGGTGGCAACTAGCTGCGTTTTTCCAGGGCTTTTGACAGCACAGCAGCAGCTGCAGACGCAGCAGCAGCAGCCAGCTCAGCTTTACCGAGGCCTTTCAAAGCCCAGCAGCAGCAGCAGCAGCAGCAGGAGGGGCAGCTAGATGCGCCCTTCCGGGGCCCTTCAGAGCCCAGCAGCAGCAGCAGCAGCAGCGGCATCAGCAGCAGCAGCAGCACTTAGTGAGCGCCTGCCGGCTCTGCTGATCGCCGAAAGCTGGAATCTTTCGGATTTATCATTTATAACTCATAATTTATCATTTATAATTCATTATTTATCATTATTATTCTTTATTTGCTTCCATTTGGCCCATTTGCTGCTGGCGCAGCGGCGGGGGCTTTTTATTCGGCTCCGCTGTACGTACACCTGCCGACCG